ACCACTTTCTTTTCGAACCATTTCATCATTAGTTTCAGACTTGAGGAGATTTCAGAATAGAGCGATTAAGGAAAAAGCCTTGAAAATTTGTGTAGTCAATTTATCACAACTAAATTGTAAGTGATATGATAAATTAACTTGTTACGAAATTTAATCTTTTATGAATTATTGAAGTAATACTACTAATAAGATTCATTCCCGTGACGTAGAGCAACAATCCAAATGGTAGCATGTTCGAAACGCGTTCTGATGTTTTTTCACTGTTGCTTTCATACAGACATTTTATTTATCTGATTATTTATTTTAAAATCATTTAGCTGATAGAGAGAACAAAGTTTAAGATATCTAATTCCTTACTGCAATGAATTTGTAGCTTAATACGCTAGTAATTGTCAATTGATTATTCCAGGTCTAAATCTTGTTTTTACACAAGTCGAATCTGTGAATTTTTACCAGCGGTAATATTCTGACATGACCACCTGTAGATCCTGAAATGAATTTACAGTGATCTCTAACGAAGTACATAAGAGCGTCAATTATGCCAATAGAGACTTTTCTGGACTTGATAGTTTAAGATAATGTAAAATTAAACTTTAATTTTAACAAAAATTCCATGTGAGGAAAAAGTGAAAAAAAAAGAGAAATCGTAACTTACAAAGCTGAACTATGAAGCTAATTGAATATCGAAGCAGCATGATCTGTTATTACATTGTAATGAAAGAAGGCAACAATTCTCGCGAAAAACGGACATCTAAGCTTTACAAATATACCTTTAGTTTGGAAAACCGGATTTGAAATTTACAAAATATTGTTCATATGAAAAAGATTTCATGTCAAATGCCAAATAAATTAAAATTTTTTTGAAAAGGATTATAATTGTTTTCATGATTCAGTTGATATCATTCACTGTTGAAGAACATTTGTTAAAACTCGTTTATTTTTTACGAAACTAAAAGTCTCTTTCTATCTGTTCATTTGCAATTATCGTCTACTGTGCATCATCGTCTTCTTTAGGCTTTCAACCCATACAGTGTATCTCATTCATATCTTGGACTGTAGAGTTTCAGAATTACATTGCTGTTCTAATTTTGGAAACTTACTGGTAATTTTTTAGCTCTAATTGAGGAAAAATCTAGCAAAAAATATTTGTAGCAACATGCATCCACTGCAATGGAAATTTTGCGCATCTTCACCTGATAAGGCTACTTTTTTGTTGGAGGAAATTTTAGAGATGCTCTGTCTTTTAACCTACTTGTTAATTTAAGGTACATCCAAGGCATCAACTTTCTTTATTTATGTAATAGCAATGTGCTTTTTTTAAAATGATACATACCAGAGACCTGTGACTCTGAAAATATTCTGAAATTTTAATTAACTTTTAAAGTAATGATAAGTATTTTAATTTTATTTGTCATAAGAGCCAACAAATTGTTGTAATTTGTCAGGAAACTGCAAGCAAATATCTATCAAACAACTTGGCTTTCATATAGTTGTTACGTGAAAAAAATGAAATGCACAGCCATTGTGCAGCAGTATATGTTCGCTGAAACAATCTTTCAACTTTACTGCGAAGCAAGAATCGATTACAGTTTCAATTTTCGATTACAAAATGTCATTTCTTGCCGTCCATTTCTTTTTTCTCTTTACAAATTTTCTTCCTTATTTCTAAGAATTATTCTCAAAATCTGATTTCCTTATAGTTTACAAAAATACAATCATAAAAATTACAGGAAACCTTATGCGAACAGCTGCTGATTGCCGCCCTAGAAATAAATACGTGGGAATTTTCTGATTTGTCGGCAGATATGCAAGTTAGTAAGTTCCAGAATTTCGGAAAATAAGTTGTCACTCCTTAAATGCTGTATATTGAATTTTATTGAACGTGCTTAAATGACAAAAATTTGACAGCTACCTTGCAGACAGCGACACTGCTTACTGCGATGCCATGCACGGTCAGTGTTACTGATGTTTCAAGGATAAGTAAAGTAAGTTTCATTTTTGTGTCCTGTGACACTACCTTTAGAATACTGTGCTGAAACAAAGGATGTTCCAGTATCTATATGCTGACGGTCTGCTGGAAGCATTGAGACCGAAATTTTAGCACTTACCGAATTTCGAATTGTATACTTTGCTGAAATTACTATATTAAAAAACATAGGAGTTCCAATTCTGTTCAGTTTTTACTGTCATACTATCGGAAAATGTTTCCTAAATAGCTTTTTTCCCTTTCGTTTGCGATATCATGAAGATGATGTTGTAGTTTGCTAAATTCGCAGTGAATATGGCGGAGATGAAAGGCGAAAATGAGTGTAGCATTTTCAAACAATCTTTCACTTTGAGGTTTTTAAGGATTCCGAACGATTCGTACTTTTCAGATGGAACTTTTGAACGTGGGGAAATTCAAACTATAAAACATGAATGTATATCACTCATCTTGAAACAACTTGTAAATTTAATTAATCTTTGGCACACACATACTACATTACAACCATTCTTTAATTTTTACCGGCTATGATAATTACTGCAGTTAGCGCTAAAAGGTTTGCCCAAGGAAGTAGAACTTCCTTTTGGTTAACTGTTTTAAAAAACTCAGGAGGAACAAAATAATCAGTATTTTCTAGTTTTTCCTTTTTCTGTGAAAGAGTATCACTCATGTACCAAAAATGGTCGAAACATATGGAAATTTTAGGAATTCTTAAACGAAATTCAACGAAAAATGAGTAGATTGGCCTACATATGTGAAATTGAACATGATCACATTGGTAGGTTGTTCGAGCAGCACTGATCTAGACAAAAAATTTTGTTTTTAGAGATTTCTTTGTTAATAATCCAAAGACGAATAATTTTGAAAAGTACTACTTAATATTTCTGTAGCTGCAAAGGGTTACATTTTACAACTTGATCAGATGTTTAGTTCATATTAGCAGCTGGTTTGCATCGTTATTTTAAAGAGCCGTTTTGAAAACTCGCAGCTGTGTTACTTTCACAATTGAAGTCGGAATTGAAATAACTTAGTAACTTCCAATGAAATGCTAAACTCTTCAATATATTTCATTTAGAGCTGTGTATGGCAATGATTTCACAACACAAGAGGTGGAAAAACAATCCTCTGGAAGAAATCGCAAACGATACTCTGGAATACATAAAAAGTGCAAAAGAAAAAGTACTGACTGATGAAGATGTTGAAATTGTTATTAATTTCTTTCTAGAAATATATTTAGATCAGCTGTATAGATTCATCCAGGCATCATGTTTTAAATGATTAATTGTTATGGGGGTGGGGATAATCTTTTTAATGAGTCGAACATATATTCCAATATTTTAATATTGATTCATTCCGGTTAGGAACTCGCGCAGAAGGCACTCATTTTTCCCGTCACTCTTTAGAAATTTTTTCAATTTATATATAATGTTGCTAACAATGATTAGTTTAATTTTCATTTGTAAACAACAAATATACTTTGGATGCAGTATTAGATGAAAAAGCACAATTCAGAAAAAGAGGTGGGTGGGAACATACCGTATAAATTTTACCTGGTAATATGCTAGAAAAAAAAATTTTTACCTGGGAATATGCTACTAAGCCTAAACATTTAACTAATATTGTCTGTTGCTGCATACATATTTTTGCAGTTTGTGTAGCGTTGCCAAACCTTTCATTTTCGCCTTTTATGTGTGGCTTACTTTTTTGGAGAATAAATATTAAACTGCTAAAAGTTTGAGTCCGCAATAAACTTAGCAAAAAAATGTAAAATGATTAATTACCGCTGACCCGTAATAATATTATTTTTTCTGAAATCAAACAAGTAGTAAATTCTAAAGTTAATTAAAGAGGTTCAGATTTCCCAACATTAAATAATGATATTTTGGATCGCTTGGACCACTTTTTTTTGTTCACATTGATTTCAAAGTTATTGTTTGAATTTGCATCTTGTAAAATATTCCCACATCTAAGGAAGATAAAAAACTTACATTGATCAATTTCCTGAAGCATTGTCTAGTCTCTTTCTACCTTTTAAACTAGTCACAAATCAAAAAGATACTTGATTCTCATTTGTAGACAGAGATTGAGTCGGTTAAAAGCCAAGTCAAGACGAGAAAATCAATTAAAAAAAGTGAACGACCTTAGAACTGCTTTAACAAGGTGAAACAACTGTTTTCGATTGGCGCCCTCATTTGTAAAATTATTTTCACATCTTTTGCATTGCTTTCACCACAACACTACTTTGACTTTTCTTTCCAGATTTCTACTTCAGCATACCAATTCAGTTTGTTCTTTTTCGACGTTTACTCCTAAGCAAACACTCCTTCTTTCCCGATCATAATTAATTGCATTATGTACTACTCCTTAGTTGCCGTGATTGTTAATGAACTTCTGCAGCTGAAATTACGCATCCTTTCAAGCTTTCTCTATAGTCTTCATATTTGAAAATTAAAGTCTCATTTACACAAATTTTTACGTCTAAGAAAAAGAAAATAGCTGAGCATGCAATATGTAGTCACTAATTCACAATCTTACAAAGTGAGGTCTTTTAAGAACTAATAAGAAAAGATTCGATAAGTCAGTCTACGACGACCAAAAACGAATCCATTAATTTCAATAAGTTTTTTATTTTCAATCTAAAAGATTGAAAGGCAACTCTACTGACAGAGAAGTTGTGATTGTGCTATTTAAATGAAGTATTTCTAATAAGTTCTTCTCATTTGTCTTGCGAAATTGATGATCTTTGTAGAAATTTGGTAAAATGCATTTCTTATCGTAGAGTAACTACAGAGAGCGATCAAGCCGAAGATGATTCCTGAAAATCTGTCTTCTGAAGAAGGCTCAATATACCAATCATTTAAATCAAGTCAGCCGGTCAGGTTGTAGGAATTCTATGGATAGAGTTTAATGGACTGAAGTGTTGCAATAGAATTAAATTGCTGTTAGTCTGCTTCATTTTAGGGAAATTTTGTGAAACACCACTGTTCATCGCAAAAAATGTATGTGGGTGATTTAAGGCAGGAAGTGTTGAGGATGAAATTAAGCCAGACTATGGATAGACTTGCGCTAAATATATTTTAGTTCTACCGTTATTATCATTGTTAACAAATTCCAGAGCAATAGCTGCGGAAATAAAGTAGTAGCAGATAGAGCTTTACTGACAGTTTGAACAGCATCTTAGCTTCCACTATTTCAGCGCAACCTTTTTCGAAAATTTTGAACTACTTGATGTATATGTGTTATTTGAACAGCTGTTACAAACTGCACTCCAGCTTGAAATTTCCCAGTTTCAACAGTGTGAGCATTAGCTCACTTTTCACCTTTTGTTTTTTTTTTTTATTTCATTTCTTCCGACCTCTTTTTTACTATTACATAAATTTTTGTAAATTGCTAAAAGACCACCCACTTTCCACGATAGAACTCTTTTGTTGCCCTTCTCATGTAATCGAAATTTGATCTCATAAAGGGATCGTAATTCGAATGATATTATGTTTCCACTTAACTGAAAATAAACATATCTGCTTTATTCCACAATTTACCTTTTATTCCACTTGCGGTGTATTACTATTCGTTTATTGCAGAGCTACTTAGACACTTTGCAGAATAGGCTTGCGGAGCTTTAGACGGAATGCAATTGGGCAACATCTCTTTACCTGTAAGCCTCAATGCCAGCCATCCAGATGAGCATTTTAATTCGCCTACTGATAAAGCAGGCTGTTAAGAGAAAGTTTCACAATCAGTATAACTGAAGTTATAATTTTATCCAATCTTATCAGTACTAACAGCACAGAACATAAATACTGAGAGGTACAACTAGCTGTTAAACCTATGCCATCAAAGAGATTGGTTAATTGATGTACTGATGCAATTTTCTCCTTTCCATTTTAAACTTTTTGCATTACTGTTAAGTCGGATTCAAATTAAGTCAGTTGGGAAACATTTAAAATAAAGTAGAGCCATAATTTTATGTTTTAAATGAAATTCACCTGCTAACTCTTTTTGGCTTTACCAATTACTAACTTTCCTTATTCCTAAAATTTTGTAAAGCGACTATCGAAGTTGTGATTTCTGTGACAGAACTTCGTATTTTGTGTTATAGGACAAGCATAATGTACAGACCTTCATTTCCTGCCTTATGAGTGGGACTCTAAATAACATCAAAAAATCTGGGTGATCTGGGAATCACATGTATCTTGGCGTACGATGGTAACGATAGTTACGATAATATCTAAGCTTCCGTATCTAGTTACTCTTATCCATTCAAAAATTCCACTTGTTTGATGTAAATTTAATATATGTATATAAAAACTAAGAGGAAATTTTACTGTCTTGAAAATTATAATGAACAGAATATATTAAGGATGTAATGAACTATGATCCAGACAGTGTACAAAAGGAAGCATCAGTATTGAGTAGTGTTTCTGGAAATGAGAACTGTTAAATTTCGTTCACAAAAACTCCCACCATTCAATTTTTTTTGTTACTTATCTACGAGGCTTCTTGTTAAAAACCTATTCTGCCGATTTATTGCAGTATCTATAACAATCTATACTTGAAAGAAACTGAGAAATAAGTTCGATTGGAACCATAATTGAAAAAAAGTTTGACAACATTTCACTGAAGAATTCCGTTTTGCATTAGACTCCAACATGATTCACCGCCGTTTAGAATAGTCATGTGTAGACAGAAATCTAGTGTAATCTAACAACATTCCACGAAGCGTACCACTTGCAAAACATTCGGTGCTGATATGACGCAGGTCCATAGATAAAACTCCATAGATGTGTAATGTGTTCCAGATACCAGTTCTTTCAAAGAATCAAATCGTGAAGCTTTTTAAATAGGCACATATTTGCATACTTTTCCGCTCAAAAAACACATATATTTGAGTGTGAATCATCGATGACTCACTTTCGATTCAAAACTCCATAAATATCTCAATAATCTACATTTATAAATAATGATCTTTCTTGCTTTGCCTTTGCAACTAATCTGAGATCGAGTGAAATAGCTTTCAGGACAACTGCACTGCACTTGACTACTTTCTGTATGGGAAACAGCATTCGCCTGCAGGACATTACAGATATTTATCACAAAAAAGACTTGTCATTCAGCAACGTAATGAACATCATGTAGAAAGATTAGTTTAAAAAAATGAACTCTTCTTAGTGAAGGTCTGTTTTCGATCGGCAAATGTCAGAATCTGCTTTCCTCAGTCTTCTGCCACCCCGCCTTTCCTTATAGCTAAAAATATTTTGGAGTTTCGTTTTCATCATCGCCTACAAGTAATGTACCACTGCAGTTCGCTTCCATGATATTACATAGTATGCATTAGCTCCAAGTTGCTATGATTGGTAATATAAAAATTTACTGCTACAGCGTCATAATTGCTGACCTTTACAGTTGTTGGATGGTTATCTGTGTTTTCAGTAATGTACGTAATAGAATCCGGTTTCAATGGTTTTTGTATATTTTTGTACATCAGCAAACCTTTTTTTAATGCTTATACCAGACTCTTTGTATTATTTCGTTCCAAATAAAATTTTCTACATTTGCCTACAATCCTCTAGTTCTTTTACCTGCAGTCAACTTACTGCTAGAAATTAAACTGAAACAAAAAGAAGTTTATTTTCTAAAGTAAGGGTATAAAATGTGAAGTGAGCGATCTAAACATAATTTCAAGATACTTTTCTCACTACGCTCCCGCTGATAACTTTAACATTCCCAACAATATTATCAGGAAAGGCTTTTGGAATGTTGGTATAGATGTGGAAAACTTTAAGGCACTTGCAAAGTTTTTTTCAAACTTCTAACTTCGGCTGCTAAGATTTTCAGCTGTGAACAACATTTTTTATAACATCTTCTTCAAGTTTGCTACTGTTGGTAATTTGGAAAGGTCAAGGGCACACATTGGAATTTTGAGTTGCAAGGCTCAATGTTTGCAAGCATTTCTGTTCAGGGCGCTGAAAATCGTGAACACCTAAGCAAGATGAATTACGCAGTTAAATAAGCTGTCTTAATTCGCAAATGAATCTGATTTAAAAGAACTTGAAACAAACTGTCTTTCTGTCACTCGATGGGTCGAATTCACTGCACTTATGCTTTAACAATCTTTGTTGTCCTTGTGACGTACAGTGACGTACAGTTTTGTATTAATATTATGTTTAAATGATTAAAAATTGAAATTCGGGGTGAAAGCAAGTTTTGAATTCGTCGCTGATACTGAGACGGACCTCAAATTCAGTGATTTTATTTTTTAAGGATGACGACCCAGAGATTGCAAATGGTGTTTATTTTGGCTGTGGTTCTGACATGTCTTGCTCTGAATGATATCCGAGCGATGCGAATAAAACGAGATGATCCAGGACAAGAAGACCACAAAAACCAGACAGATGTAAATCACGATGAGCCTCAAGAGCATGGCCACGAACATCAAAATGATTCCAGTCATGAAAAACATGGACATCACAACTTTTCTGGAAGTCATGAAAGTTATAGCAAGGATCACAGTGATGAGAACCATCACCACGAAAAGAAAACTCAGTACTACTGTAAATGCCATAGTCATCACGACAATGAAACGGAAAGCCAAGAACATGAACATGAACATAAGCATGCTCATGAAAATGACACAGAAACTCATAGTCACAAAAATACCCATGAACATCTAGGTAATTATTCAGATAGTAGTGAACATAGTGATCAGGAATGCCGATGCCATTGTCATTGTTCGAAACATAAAGGAAGCCACGCTCACAAGCAGAAGGGAAGTGGTGAACACTGTCACTGTTTCTGCCATCATCACGGAGATGAGAAGCACAAGGGATCAGATCAGATGGAACAACAAGATAAGGAAGATCATGACAAGGAACATAAAAGTTAGCATTCTATTGTTCCTAAAGTACATTGCTTAATATTGTTCTTTTTACTTAATCATACTCTTAACTTTTCGTCTCTTTTTGCTTACGAAATCAGGGAAGTATGCTGAAGTATTTTTTGATCAAAAAGCGCCTTAATTTTTGTTGTATATTTCAATCAAAAAGATTAAAATAAATAGATGCAGAACTGAAACATTGCTGCCGGTGCTATCAATAAGATTTTTTTTCAGAAGAGTTCGAAGAAAAAGAACACAAAGGAGAGAAAGTAATTTTTTTTTTCGCTACATACTTTCTAGTGAAATCAATAGTAATGAAGTTATTAACAAATGCACAAATGAAATATTGAAAACATGTCATTCAGGTTGACGAATCTGTTACAAAAGTAGGGAAAATTAAAGTTCATAATAACTTTATTTACAAGAGAAAATATGAGAGATTACACCACTGAACTTTTTGACCATACATATCAGGGTTTTAGAGGTGTCTTTCCGTTTTTATCCGTTCTAATCTGACTAACTTTAACCACTAAATATTTAAGACTCTTAATGACTTATTCAAAACCTAAAACTTTTTTGCTTTGATCGAATAAATGACGCTGCAATATTATAAACATGCTGCTTAGAGGAAAAAAAATAGTTATTTTAAAATTTTTTAAAGTGACTGTTTTTCTATATCGGTGGACCAAAAGCAAGTTCTCGCATATACTTTCACAACTGCTTGTTTTAGGATCAAGATCAGGTCATGAAACTATTGTTTTGAAGTTTCAAACGCTGTGCAGTAAGTTTTCTTCCTTCATTTAACTCTGAGCAACCACTGCACAAAATCAGTGCTTTTTTGTAAATAAGTAGTAAATATCTTCAAACTTTTCTTTTCAACCGATGAATTTGGTCATAATTCTTGGCGTTATTGGTGCTACTACTAATATTGAATGCACTATGAGGAACCCTTTAATTTCTTCATAAAACCGGAATTCACGTACTTCCCAGATACACCTATTCATTATATTGCCCTATTTATATACAAAATATGGGATCAATTTCTAATAACTTCTAGCTTTATTTTTCAGGTATGATATTAGTAAGCTACTCCTCTGTTGAGAAATGTGCAGTTATACGTAACCTCGAAACTATGCGAACCGTACCAAATATCTTTCAGAAATTTAATAAATAAAATTTTCATGTTTGTGATTATTTTCCAACATTATTTCTGTCATTTGTAATCTGGATTCAATATTTAATTTATAAAAGCATTTCAGGAAAATGATGGTATTTGAAAATGTTCTTTGTTTGATAAACTTCGTCGTAATTGTCCTTTCACTTTTTCTCAGGTCTACTTACCACAAAAACTGCAAAACCACGTATCACATGAATGCTATATTTAAAATAAATTAGCTTTTTGCTTAAATAATTATTCAGATGACACCAATTATCTGTCACATTAATGATGTTTTCAACTGCAATTATGGTTATTAACAAATCACGCATACTTAAGATCGCTTTACAAAGAAATCAGCAAGTTGCTATTGCTTATCGGCAGTGTGTCATTTTATAAAGTTATTAAGTGTCATATTGTCATCATTCCCATAAATTAATAATTCGTTACATTGTCTAAGCAGAACTCCAATCAGTTTTTCAGTTTTAACAATTTGACAATCAATCGAGTTTTAAGACCATCACTAACTGCTCTATATCAGTAAATATGTGTTTCCAATGTCATAAGGCAAATGGAGTTCATATAGACTTTAGATCATGACAAAGAAGCAGGTCTCGTGCAACTAGTTCAAGTAAAAAAATCAATTGTATAACTGATTTAAGATAAATGCATAAAAGAAAATAACCAATGTTAACCTTAAAGATAAGTAATCTTTCCTTGCTTAGAGTAAATTAATCTCTCGTAAAGTAAGCAGAACTCACAGTTAGCATAGCATGCAATTTTAGGATATCCTAAAGTTCAGAAGTCTCCAAGGAGAAAGATTCGCAGAATGAGATGAAGCAACTTCACTTAGCTTTTTGCGCAAAAATAAACAAAGAGAAAATCAAATAATGGATATATAGGATGAGCCACGAGGATGCAATATTGACGAGGTGAATGATTTTAAATAGACGTGATGGTGCTAAAGATGAAAAAAGATAGGAAATTAGTAAACTTTATTAAATTTCCCTGAAAGACACCGATGCATTTTTTAATGAATACTTGGACGTAATTATTTTCTGCAAAATATTTAAATTTATAGTTTAATAATGACTCATCTTCCAAAGTAGCCAAGGGTAGAATTAATAAGCTGCAAAATTCTGGGCTTCAAATTTACCTGTTTAAGTTCACAACTTCTTTTAAACTAACATGAGAGAAGAAGTTAACTACACATACCAAGCAGGAACAAATTAATGAATTAGAAAGCGTAACTTTTAAATCAAAACCACACCAGTGATAAGGCAACCATCCAGAACAACTTCTAAATTTTGAATTCCAAGTCCTCAGGAAACTTATAGTTAACACTTTCACTTCAAATAAGAAACTAGAGAGCGATACATAAGCTTTTCATGAAACCGTAAATCCGGAAATGGTTATTCCTCTGTAAATCTTTAAACCCTATTTTTATAAAAAATTTACTTTCTGGAAATGGTTATACATAGCCTTTGTAGTTATACATAGCTCTAGAAAAAACAGGGAAAAAATGTCCAACTTTTAATAACGTGGAAAAAGCAATTTTTCTTGGGTTCCAGACTTTAGCCTCAAACAGTAAAATTTCAAATTCCTATTAAATCTGGGCAGAAACGGGAGTCTTTTGCCAATCAGATAGTGGCATTTAAATGTTTTGTATTTATTTGACACGTGCAAATGTTAGAAAGACATGAGCAAAATTTTTTGACAAAATTATTTCTTCTGCAATGCTTTATCGGCATAATTAATCTTCCTTTTTTTCACCTTTGTAAGCAGCGTTGGTAAGCCATAAATTCCATCAGTAAATGAAAACAGAGTTTGTAGTGTGGCATGAATAAATCTATTGGATAAAACTGTTACAATCTATTTGAGAGATGTGGAAGAGGGAGGGGGAATGCCAAGTGCCATTTGGAAACACATGTCGTTTTTTACTACTGCAAAGTTATTACCTCTTCAAATACATTAATTTTTCTTGATTTGAACTTTCAAAATTACTTTTATCTCTCTTGGATCAACAACGATCGATATCGTTACTCATTCAGGAATTAATTGTAATTCTTTGAATTAGTTTATTTAAAAATGTAACGTTGCCTTACAGAGGAGATTTATTTCCTGTTGAGTTTTGACATGTTTCTTTAGTCGTCCTGTCATTAATTCTCAATAACAACAAGTAAAAATTATAGATTATATAAATTCCTCTAATGTTGCCTGAGCAAAGAAGTAATCTATATTCCAGGATACATTAACAACAGCAAGACCACTGTTCGCTGTTGTAGAAAATTGTGTTGATTAAATAAGCGCTACTTATAGTGTTCGAAAAAATCAAAAACTATGGTGCGGTTTTCCATGAGAGCGAAAATTGAAAAGGGAATGAATTTCCATTCCAAGCTTTTGTTTGCCACAAACATCGAGTAGAAACAAACAAAAGGTCACATCTACAATGCTAATAATTAGTATAATTAGTATATTTGAAATTCATGCTGTAAGAATAGGGATCAAAAAATCAATTGAAGTCTACATTTCTAAATTTAAGTGTTAGAGCCTCCTTGTCATGATGCTGTAAATCAAGATAGAAGGGAAATCTAAGAGACGAAAGAGGTGAATCGAGAAAAAAAGTTAATGCAAATTAAGATCGTCGTTTCATTCTGAAACTATTCAGAAGTGTTCTAGATCAATTTTGATTTAAAAAAGGACTTGTTGAGTACTTCATCTTTGCTTCAACATTTCTTCTACCTGTTTCATACTTGCCTCATCATTTTGCTAATTTACTATTCAATGCAAAAAATTGTTAAATGTCGCTAAATAAATGATTTTCGTTAAATTTCACTTGCAATTATTCATCAAAGTTTTTTTTTCAGTCCTCTTACCTACTATTTACTTTTTCACTTGCCAAAGTTGTGAACTGCTCTTAGTGTTCGTTTTAAATTTAGAAGATTTCATTTGAATGCACTAATTTAATAGGCCTGTCTTTAATGAAAGTATTTGTTTTGTCCATCAGCACAGTTATTAACTAACTTTAGCTGCAAGACATGAAAACGAAAGCATATTTTGATACGCAGAATGTATTTTTGCCGTTGTGACTATTGCTGTTATATAAGCAGGTATGAATTACAGGAGTGTTGGCAAAGTAACTGACCTTCAAATATTCTAGATCTCTCTTTCTCTTTCGTCCAAATTATATATCTGCAAGAAATCGCGGCTACTCTCTCGTGTTTTCTTCATCTTGCTATATGACACTTTTCAATATATCCATTCGCACAAACTCATTGACGAATAAGTGTCAGAATAAGATGCAAGGAATACATTCCTGGTATGGTTCAACTAACAGTTGCACTCCGAGACTCTGGTCAACCTATTCTCCAATGATTATCGAACTTCACAGCAAACTTTTTTCAAAATTAAGTGCACTGATCGCACGCGAACCAACTATTTTAATGTCAACATGTGTTATGGTATGTTTTGCATGTGACAGACACAGATACTGATTTCTTTTGAGCCGATGCTATTACAATATATCAAGCGTTTACAGCATTTTTGCATCATTTATTACTTCTCGTAATTCGAAAAAGAAGAAAGTTGTCATTATGAATTCTAAAAGCATTCAGTTGTCAACTGATTCTTGCCACCTAGTTTGAAAACTTCATATAAAAATTTCACGAAAATCTAAAAGTTGACATTAATTTCATCCAGGAAAATAACCTTCTCGGACTATGCTGACTTTTGAAATTAAAAGATTGAATCCATTTCAGCTTTATAATGTTTTTTTGTTCAACTGTTAATTAAAATTGAATTGATCACTTCTTCGAATTCGATAAATTTATTTTAAAGCTTCTTCGCTATTTCCAGTATTTATCTTTTAACATTATCATCCTGACTTTGTGTTCCACAAGTTTATACGAGTAATTTTAATTAGAACTGCCTTCTTTGCAGGAGTCACGTAATGTCTTTCCGTTATCTTTTTCAGGTTCGGTATTTTTTTTTTATCTGAGTAAGAAATTACCAAGATTGCTTAGGTTTCCAAAGTCTTAATTGTGATAACACAACAGAAAGTAGTCAATAGACCCAGTCATGTTTGGTCTGCCTTGTGCTACTTGTTTCCACTTTTTTACTTCTTTCCTTCTGCCTTCTAAGTGACTACGTTCTCAAAGGTTGTGCAGTCATCTTTGTTCTCGCGGATGATCTGTAATTTGCAGCGAATCTGTAATTTGCAACGAATTTTATATCTATTAGGTCGTATGGCGTTTGCTGGTTGTAGACGCGCAATGATAGCTCTTATTCTTCACTTGTCTCTTTTCTTATCAAGCAGAATTCTTGTTCTTCATCTTTTTTACACTTTGACACAGTCAGTACGGTTCTCTTGAGTTGTCTTTTTCAAGGCATTAGAAATGCTATGAAACTTACGCCATCCCAAAAACTTTTATTATCTTTATTGGAGATCATGGCTCATATTTAGATGCATATTATCTTCTTGGCTTAAATACTTTAATTTTTATTATACAAAACACAACATTATTTCAGGTAGCACTAACAATATGTACTGCAAATTTCTACGCAGAGTTCAAAAATGATTTCCGTACGGACTTTTCGATGCCACTGTCTAAATCATGGTCAGAGAGGGAATATTATCGAAGATTTTATAACTTGACATTCGATCCATATACGGTTAATTTTTATTGTCGAAAGAGCAGCATAAAAAAATTGATTTTTTGCTTTCTCCATTTGACGACTGTCAACTTTTCCAATGTTAGAATAAAGATCATATACGAACAATAACTGGAAACGAAATCTATATTTGCATAAATTCAGATAGTACTTTCTGGTGAAAGTGTCGATGGAGGTTCCATGCTACGACCTGATAAGTTTATTGCTATGGAACAGGAAGCAGAACGAGGATTACGTATGCATTTGGTTGGTAATGGGTTTCAGAATAGAACGCTTGGTTCTTACGTATACCTTTCTTCAAAACCGTTTTATGAAGCTATATCAGTTAGTATTTCATCAACAGAAAATGAACCACAATGTACAATTTCTTGAAGACCTAATTTGAAGATGAAACTAATTATCTTTAATTGTATGAAACTAATTGGAACTAATTATTTAATTGTATGAAACTAATTAGTAAAATTGTATGAACCTAATTGTATTTCCTTCCAGAAGTTCAATATTTCTTTCACATTTACTATAAGCTTCAGTTTTCAAAGTTGTGAAAGTTGTGAACCCACTTGATCCCATTCATGTTTCTTGAAATTAAAAAATAAGAGATTGAAAAGTCACAGCCAGTTAGTCACAAATACATTATTCAAAAAGGCCAATTTTAGGAAGCAATCAAAATTCAATCAAATGAAAATGCAGTGCTTGGTTATCCAACGATGAATCTTTACGGTATCAATTTTACAACCAGAAACGTCTTTCGGCGTTACAGCAATGGTTTTGTTGGGATGCTGGTATACTTCTTTGTATTTGCCGATCACCAAGATGTTGTTTCAAGTATAAAACGGACTGAAGTTGAATGGAACAATAAGCTTAAGGTATTGTTCGTAGGAAACAAAAGAAGTGAATTACTGAATAAGACAGAACGGAAATAACATTTAGGGATATAATTATAAATGAGATATGCAAAATGAAAAAATCGTTGAATTACTGGGAACAATATGCTTTAACGATCGGAATTCGTTTTCAATAATTTATGTTCACAATAAATGGTGAATTGATTATAGAACTAACTGAAATGAACTTTTCTATTTTTATGACCATTGTGAATTTTAGCATTCAAGTGAATCAAGTGTTCGTTTTCGATTATTTGGTGATGAAATTGTTAATACTGAAATATTTGTGGGTTCAGTCGGTTCACTTCCCTATTTCCTCACTGGTTCACTTGCAATGGTCATCTTTATTTTCTTATCGATTCTCCATTATAATGAGGTTAATGTTAAGTAAATTCTGATTATAACCTTACTTCTAAAGATGAAAAACGAACTAAACAGTGGATTAAAAATATGTGGCAAAAATTCGGCGTTAAATGTTTTGCTAAAAAAATGAAGGCACTATATTAGGCTATTACTAAAAGTTGTGATGATGTTTTTTTAGTCTTGCTTGTCAATATAGCGATAGTACTTTAAATTTATTGAATTGCTTCTGGAAACTTGGAACTCTCGGTATTTTTATTAAAGCCGAAATTGTTCGAATTTTTCAAATAATTCTTGGATTACAGTTTCAGACATTTTTGCAAACGGTTTTTTTAACACTATGGACTGCATTTTGTCCATGTTTGGCTGGCTTCACATCAGTTGCTATATTTTCACTCCTAGGTCGCACATTGAATTCGTCCATGTTAGCTAATGTTCCTTCAAATCTGCTATTAATGAACAAATCCTTACTAATTTTCCAACCAAGTCATTTCTCAATCAGTGCATCCATTGATTTAAAATTGATAGAGGCACCTTGTGGCATTTCAGTCTTTAATTTAGAATTCCTTAATTATAAGTAACTGTAAATGAATTGTAAACAAATGTAAATGAATTGTAAATAAAATTATGGAAAGAAATTTTTTTTACAACCAATTACAAGAAAATTTTTTACAATAAATCTTTCATGATTATAATTAACGCTTACCTCGTCAAATATGTGCTGAAAACTTTGAATAGTGGAATTTCATTTGAAATTTAATATCTTTTATTTTAGGCTTGTCACACCATTCATGGTGTTAGCTGTTGGCGTAGACGACGCATTTCTAGTACTACATAAATGGTTCACATCCGTTGAATTAGATCCCTCGTCTCGCTTAACTTCAGTACTTGTGGAAACTGGTCCATCTATTACTCTTACTTCAGTTACAAACATCTGTGCCTTTATGGTGAATCTAATTACTTGTTGAGCATAAAGAAAGAATATATCGTCATTAAAATATCGTGCTTCCAGTGAACATATTCTACAGGTTGGCAGTTTTCTTTCACCCTATGCAATTCGCGAATTTTGCTATTGTTCTGCTCTGGCACTTACGCTTGACTGGATATTCCAAATTTTAGTATTTACTCCTATACTACTGAAAATTCACGCTTGTTCATTTAACGTTTCAAGGAAAAATAACGAAAGGTTTGTTTCTTTAGAATCACTAGAAGACAACTTGTGTGAAACAAAACAAAGCAAGTTAGAATTCAAAAAAAATGAAATAAAACACTTTATCGAATTTTGTTTTCTAAATAATTCCACCATAATTGAGCAGATCACGCTGTTTTTTTATTTTCAGGGACAAATCACCTTTCAAAATTTACTGCAAATTTTTGATGCATCCTGTCACCAGGATTATTTTATTCTGTATACTCATTCTCTTTTGGATCTGTAGTGTATATCTTGCGCTTAGAATGGAAGAAAATTTTACACCACAAAAAACATTCCGATCAGATTCTTTCCTCACTGATTCGTTACCAACTCTTGAAAATGTAGGAAATTCTGGTCGAACGATGCATATTTCCAAAAGCTTCAAACAAAATAATAAAAGATTTAGTTGGAATTAAGTTTAATCCACAAAAAAAAATCCAAAAGAATCAACCGGCACCATAAGCCAATATCCACTTCAATGTGTGTCCCTAAGAAATATGACAAGTCTAGAAAATAAGCCTAGAAAACTCAAAATAGAAAACTCAAAAAAGCAAGAATAACAATTTTGTCTTTAACAAACGCGAAGTTCTTTATTTTGAAATGGAGCAACTCTGACTACTTCACATATTTCACCATTCTTGCTTCAATCATCAAAATGAAAGTTTCAGGCTTTTATGGAGCATGAACTCTTTCCTGTCTTTATGAAATACGTCCCAGACAGAGCGGCAGAATTGTTAGATACTGTGGCGCATGTGCACAATCTTGATTGCTTGTGTCCAAATTACAAAACCTGGATTGAAGAATATGCTGCTTTATATGGTCATACAAACGACACTACTGAAAACTTCTTTGGAAATATAATGAAATATCTGGATTACAATCCTGAGTTGACAAGGAATTTAGTTTTACGATTCGATAGGTTCTTGAATAATATTTTTTCTTTTTTACTTGTACTATATTCAGGAAAAGAGGTTTTTTTCTGTTTTTAAAATAATCGAAAATCTTCATTTCATCAGAAATGAAAAGTACAGTGCTGTTGAGCAACCGAAATTTTTTGTCGCAAATTTTAAGAAATTTAAACTGGTTTTCTTTTCACGTACCATAATCGTAAGCAAAAATTGGAAGATGAAGATGACTGATCAAAATGTTTAGCAGTGGAACTGCCACAGTTGACAAGATATCCTTTGACTTGTGTATTCATGGATATGGTAGTTGGCGTGATCGAGCTTTTATTCATGAGCAGATCCGGAAAAAGATGCCTGAAGAACTGCTGGTATACGATTACGATAGCACTTTATTTGACATTATATTGACAGCCCGAGAAACGATGTTTCAATCATGTATCATAACACCTATCTCCATGCTTCTACTTTGCACACTTTTCATTCCAAGCGGTCGAGCCATCGCTTTTGTTCTCCTCTCCATAATTTCAGTCACTACGGGTTTGCTACATTTTTACGTATTATAAGAGAAAATTGTTTCTAAGTTATTTGACGTAGTAAATGCCTTGACAAAGGTGTGAGGATATAAGTGAGGGGAAGGGTGAACGGGATTCATGTTACTGATAGCTTAGGTCTGAAGATCTTCGACGGACTCATTCATACCAGTGTCCGGCGTGGATTGTATTTCTGGTTCAAAGGTAATTGGCGATAACGTATATTTCAAGTCAAATGTCCGAATTATCCTCATCTTGTGAAGTAATTCATGAACAAAATAATCCTCTTGCTGGAACTATAGCTTCTCGTGAAATATTATTCCGAATAGATGTTTTTGAGGTCACTTTGGCATAAAATGTAAAGATTGTAGGAGATTTCCAGGAATAGTAGGTGGTTTAAGTGCATGGGGCGCTGATATGGATATTATTGTAACCATCAGTGTTGTGATGGCAATTGGCTTGACAATTGATTATGCAGCACACATAAATTATCACTATTTTGTGACGAATGCAATGCTGCCTCCGATAGACCGAATGTCCTCTTCGCTACAAGCTATCACTTATGCCACTGCTCAGGTAAAATACTTTTTGGTGGAATTTCGTTGCCAACCCCTCTTATTCTGTTTTTCCATTAGACAGGCCACATTTTCCGGTTACCATTTCAACACTTTAAGATGAATTTTTCGATCAAAATCAACTGTCTCAAAGTCAAAAGAATTTCATCCTTTTTAGATTTTGAATATAGTTTTGCATAATTTCAGGCATCAACAACCACATTTATATGCGTTTTACCTCTTTATTTTTATAACGTTTACATGTATGTCACATTCGCCGAAACGATCATATTATGTGCTGTACTCGGTCTTCTGCACACTGTTGTTGTTATACCTTTTTTGTTGTTGTTCTTCTGAATCTTATTTTTAATGTATTTTGTACAAATTATTTCTATTATATTTCACTATGGAACTGCCCTCACTCCTTCCTTCTATATTCCTAATGTCTTGTTTTGTAGCTTCAGTTAACTTATGAATTAATGACTAGTGATTACATTATGTCCATAAAGCCTAAAATTAGTCAAAGTGGTCCCAAATATTTTTTGAAGTACCGAAATGTTCTACTTTCAGTATTGGTTTTAGTAATTAATTCGAGAAATATGCGAAATTGAATCAAAAGAATTTGTTCATACAGGAATGTTTTGCATTAACGCATACATTAATATAAAAGAGGAACACACGGATTTGGGATCTTATTATCTTACCAAATATAAGGGATTAAAAAATATAAATTTGGACGAATGAATAAATGGTAAACTTGATTGAGGTAGTTTACGTATCAAAAGTCAGTAAAATCACGATTTAAGAACTAATAAAGAAATGCAGAGTCGCAGGGAATGATGTGCTCAAAAAATTGAAAATTACTTTCAACATCAATTTCTTTGTACTTTTCAGCAAAAA